AAATACCGACATTTTAAATTTAATATATATACAGATTTTCCACTTTGATATAAACTTTCTACATTTCTGTTTTTATTATAAAATATCACATTATTTGTATAAAAAACTGAATTAAATTAACTTGTCTTTTTTATAATCATAAATTCGAATGTTAGTTTTGGCATCAGCAAGGGATAATATTTCATAAAGAAATATAAATGGGGATACACAAATAATATTATGTAGAAACTTCCTTCATTAATAACCTGGTTAGAATATAATGGTTTCTTTCAAAACAATCAAAATGTTAAGTTCTAATAATGAAACAATGATTGCGATTACCACACGTAGAAAACAGAAATAAATTAAAAAGAAAAATATAGACAATGCAATGCACTCATACCAGTTACATTAGTAGAACATCGGTCTTTTAAAACACATACATGTAACTGTCGAATATTTAAAAGAGTTTTTAAAGAAAAGTAATTTATTTTTATTATCACATAATTTTTTATCCTAAACAATCCTGTCGAATGATATCTGAACGAAACATAACAACAATATAATTCATAATATTTTATTCAATTTTATTTATTATCTGTAACCATATCATTAGATGTTCTCCCAATATTTTCGGTCATGAGAAAAGCTTTTTTTAAACTGTAGGCGTGACTTATGTATTGTTGTCTCGCTCTATTGTGAATCATTTAGCAAGTGTGAATGGGACGGGATGCTAATAGGTGGAGTTTGAACGAACATCCCACGTTACAGAACAGTTTCTGTTAAAAAATAAAACAAATCACCAGCTAATAGGTTGTTTAATGTATCAGTCTATTTGGGTATTGAATGCTAAGTATTAATGCGTGGTGTGGCAACAGGTCGTTTGTCAAGATGTACTGAGCTTCGTCGTTGAACCTTTACTGCCTAGATGTTCATTTATATAGGAGAAATGCTTATTTTTAGACGTGGATAGAGTACAGGTTTGCTCCAAAATAGGTAAGGCAACAACCTAATATAAGCAAGATTTTTTTACACAATATCTTCCAATAATAGCAATATTATATTAACTCGTTGTCATATGTATTTTAAATACCTATTGGCTGTATGTATGGTATGTAGCATAAATTATTGGCTAACTTTTTCAGGAAAAGGTCATCACATTGCATAATTCATAACAATTTTTTGTCAAAAATATCCCTCATAATTTGCAACATAGTTTAAAGTTTATCGCAAAAAGGAAATCAAACAATCAGAATGGATTTTACAACTCTAAAGCAGAAACACTACTTCAAAAATATCCGAAAATAAAGTACGAACATCTATGCAGTGAAAAATCATGAGCAAGCTAAGAGAACTGCTTTTATTTAAGTTTACAGTGCGCAGGCGACGACAGCGCTAACGACACGGTCTTCCTGCAAGCATTTGTCTGTCAGCGGCCACTCCTGCGCCGGATGCATCGCCAGAAAAACGGCTTTGTACTAACACTACGACTTGTTGGAAAGTTTGGACATTTAAAATTTCCTAATAATTTTGTTAAAAGAGGAATGATAAAAATATTGGATGGATTCAAAAGTAAACCAACATAGTTTTTAATGTTTGATGAATATGTAGGTACCTATGCCGCGTTGTCAGATGAATCAGAAATGCTATTACTGATTGAGAGATCATGGATTTGATGGCCTAACAAAGTGTCTCTGCGAAATATCTCATCCGCCGTAAATTTTTTGGTACCTAGCTGAAGTAGTTTAAGTACTTACTTTATCCTATTCTAGATTTAGGGATGATAAGCTTCTCCGCAGCAAAAAAGAGTTATGGCCTGATTCACAATGTCCAGATAGCCCGCCTATCGGATCAACACATCTACGACTTAACCTAAAGATGTCGATACGTCGATGATTTCCGCGGTACAAAGGTACTTCCATGCGTAAACCACAATCATAGTCACCATACTGTAACAAAACTTTCTCTGTAAACATGGAACAGTAGCGTTTGTTTACTGGGAGAGATCGTAAACGACGCATGAGTGTGCGGTGCGCAGCTAATTTTGTTTTCTAAACAGCCTCCGCCTCTTCAAAAGAATAATTTCTCAGAAATAATAATTGAGTTAAGTTACTAACGAAATTTAGGCAACATCAGCACTATATAAGTAACTCTATGCAGTTCTCTTTTGCTTGATAGATCTTACGCGATCATTCTATCTTTGCTGTTTATTGCAACACTAGCTGCTCTCAGTGGCTTCGTCCGTGTCCCCGTGGGATCAAAAGTAGTTGTGTTATCCTCGACCATAATCCAACTATGTTCCAAATATCATCCGATCCCTTCAGGGGTTTTGACATGATAGAGTAACAAACGCACGCAAACACACAATCTTCCGCATTTATAATTATTATTAAGCAAGATAACTTTAGCCTCTTCTATTACAGAACTGAGAACTTTTAAAATTAAGGCTGATCTAATATCAATAACGACATTAATCCAAAAGTTTAAAGTTGTGATCGGTTATTAATTTCGGTCATAAATACCTACCTATGTAAAAAGAAGATAAGTTTCATTTTGAGATAAGTAAATTGCCATAACATATAAAAAACGACTGAAACTCCTGTTGGTCAGTTGGTCTACTAGTCGATAACAAATCGACTAGTAGACCAACCAGTCGTACCTAAACACTGAAACAATGAAATAATGTGGATTTTCTAGAGAAAATTCTGTAATAAATAGCATTGGATAAATTAATTTAAATTAGGTACTGAAAAACTGCGCTGATCTTGAATGAAAGTCCCGAGAAACTACTAGCTTTATTTACTCATTGTATACCTACTAATAATTTACTTAAAACGGTTAAAATGTACCTATAGTTTCTAGCAAAATACCGGTAGGTGCATGCTTTGGCCAGTTTACAAAGAACTGAAGCCGAAGAATTTACAAAAATACAAATGAAACAATATATAACTTTGCAACACAAAAACGTAACAATTTGACCGATATTCACTCCGTGGTCAAGGTGTTACTATTATTTTTATCATCGCAAAATATAGAGGGATGTCGTAAAACTATCGTCGCGGTTCAGGTGAACGGCCGTACGCATGCGCATCGTTCACAAGATGGCTCCCATATATCCGTCATCGGGGTGCCTGATGCGCGCCAAAATAAGATTATTGGAAATTTGACAGAGATGAGCGCGCGCACTTTACGATCGACGCTAGACGGGGTTTATGAGAAAAGATGTGATGCCGATGACGCATGTAAGTGGTCCTTGGGTATTTCTGGACGTTACAGTATTTTTATTAATTTCTGAGGGCACCGAGCACGTAGGTACTATCAACCATCCATCTACTAACTATCTACCATGAACTTGTTACATTTACTAACTGTCCTCTCTGATTTCACGGAAAACTTTGACTAAGTATTGCATAAAAGTAAAAAAGTCAAAGCATTTTTTAATTAAACCATAATTTGGTACCTACTTTTCGAAACGTCAACAAATAGAAAAACAAAAAGAAATACCTAAATCTGTCCGAAAAGTCTGTCCGTCAGACTGTCAAACGTAGATGCTCGTTCCAAAACATAGATTCGAATTAGATAAGAGTAGAAGCAATGTGAAGACACGTTTGACGTGAAATTATATAGAACTTACTTATGGTGCTCACACACATATTGACAATAAAAAATAATGCTTCTATACATGATAAGAGAGACCAACTCTTTGTCTTAAGAAAAAAATGCCCGATGCCATTAGAAAACTACATATGAATAAGTTACGCTTTCATTTAAAAGCAGCAACCACGCGCTGTTTCACCTGCTGCTGCTCAGTTCCTATTGATTGCAGCGAATTATAGATTAGGGCGCACAGATTAGCGCGTTTAGACAATCAAACTTTTCAGCTGTATAACATTAGCAGGTGTAAGTATATTTTCTTTCTTACCTTTTTTTCGAGGAATAATATCATCAAAATTCCTTCTGCCGCCTTAGTTCAGGTGACAGGGAGTGACAGACTTTTACTAACTAAAACTACCCTGTTTCTTCTCCTGCTTCGAGTCCGCATAGCTGTCCGCAGACCCGGTTCTTTTTTACCTTGTAACGTCAGGTACTTTTTTCTTACCGATGCCTTGAGAAACTTCCTAGAACATCAAAATAATGTGTTAAGGTTATTTGCATCATTTCCGGGGAAAAGGGCTCCCGAAAAAGATGACGCAATAGTTTCCTAGATAGTTCAAAACGTATACCATTTGTACTGCAAATACTGCACAGTGTCCTCTACTATATCAGGTGGAGCGTTACTTTTAATGCTACAATGGTTTGGCACAAAAAGTTTAATTCAATACTTTAATATATTTTATTTTATTTATAATTATATATACATTTTGTTTTGTTTTTTCAATTACCTTGATACCAATGAATAATTCTATGATCTTTCGAAATCAATGGATAATAATATGATTACGTAGATATTGCGTGTAGGAGTAACAAGCATACATCCATACATACACATCCTCACAAAATGTCGCAAATAAAATAATTCTATGTTAGGTCTCCAACTATTAGCGACATCTAGAGGTCGACATCATACAAAAGCATCTTGTACAAAAGTGACATCTAGTTCTCCACTCTTTAAAGAGTAGAAAGTTTGCATGAGCAGTAAGTAGTGACATCTAGCTTCAAGTACATTAACTAATCACTGCACACAAAAGTTAAGCCAGTATTTTTATTAAAACAAGACAAAAATAAAAAAGTGTAAAATTTTCGCTAAATCGTTAAGTTTATTTTATTAATTTTATTATTTTTCAATAGTCTGCCCGCCGACTACAAACGAAAACAAACATTTATTTTTTACGCATGGCAACAAAACTTGTTTTCGCGAGAAAACTTGTGATAGCATCGTGAATCTTATTTTGATTACAAAATTGGCATGAAACTCGATAATAAGCCGAAAAATAGTGAATATTTAGTGCAAAGTTATAGTGTTTGATGTGGCGTATTAAATATCCGCCTTCCAAGTGGAGCTGCTAAAGAAATTGCTTGCCATGGCGGGCCCGTCCGACGGCGATCCCGACGGATGGGTCGAGTTCTGCGAGCGTCAGGCCAAAGCCGCCGCTCAGGACTTCGCCAAGGCTTGCTTGCAGTATGTACAAACCGGTGCCGGCGACTCTGCAACGCGGCCGCAAGCTCCGCACAAGGAGCTGCTGAAGAAATTCGTGGAATGTTTCTCGGAACAGTTCGAGTATGAAATTGGGAAGTTGAAAGCTTTGCATAAACTTCCTAACGGCACACACACGGGACACGACGAGAGCGACTATTCCGAAGATACAGACTCGCCAAAAACGCAACACAAACCATTTTTCCGAAGGTTATCTTTCAAAGGTCTGAGACGTGGGAAAGGGTTGTTCCACAAACAACACTCGGACGAGGTGGAGCTCTCATCACATCTGAACAAACACAACAAGACTAAATTAGCTAAAATAGTTGTAGAATGTAGGAAGGAGGGGCTGGTAAATTATTTAACTCCTGAGAGTCTGGAACAGCCCAGTGGCCCTCAGAAGTGGGAAAGGTGCAGGCTAGCTTTGGTAAAGACGGTAGGGGGTTACATGCTGGAGTTCTACTCTCCTCCAAAAGCACAGAAGCCCCGAAGTGGAGTATTTTGTTTCCTTATATCGGAAGCCCGAGAAACCACTGCGCTGGAAATGCCTGACCATGAAAATACTTTTGTATTGAAGGTAAACTATTATTTAATGTTATTGATGCAACAAGTTGTCCTGTAATCCTGCTATTGTTGTGAAACAACACTTTATGTTTATTGATTTATTTTTATTTCATTTACCTGTAGTAGGTATGATTTGTACATTTATAATAAATGTAATATTTTTAGTGCAAAATAATAATTGTATAAGCTGGAGTGGTTTTACAATACTATAAGACTAAACTGATGTGTCTGGTAGAATTATATCCTTGTTTTGTGAACTATAAAATTAGAATATTAGATCATGATCAGTGATTACTTGAGTACTCACAGCTGTGAATTTGTAGTTTCAAAATAATTCTATTATTACTGGACTTTCTGGTATGTTTCATGTTATTTCTTTACAATCTACTGGCAGGAACTTTCTAGTTAGGAAATAAAAACATTTATTTCAACAAATAGAGTAATTTAGTACATTATTACATGAGTAATTATAATGGTATGGGGATATTATAGTTATGCCAAGTATGCGGTAAAATGAGAGCAGTCTTTGTTGTTATTGTTCATCATCATCATCATCATCATCAACAGCCTATAAATGCCCACTGCTGAGCAAAGCCTCTTCTCACACGGAGAAGGTTAGAGCATTAATCACCACGCTTGCTCAATGCGGGTTGGCGATTTCAAACTTATAATTAGAAATTATAAGTCCAGGTTTCCTCACGATGTTTTTCCTTCACCGTTTGTCAGTGGTGTCTAAATAATCTTTGTTATTGTTCATTAAAGTAATATTTGCTTGAATACTTACATGATATTCAACAGGTGTGGTGTCTCAAGTCCTCACTTGTTGAATTACATCTTCCAATGAAGATACTCAATTTCTATGTATATATGTGTATATACTTACCTCAAATTATAAATCTCTCTACCATTGCAGGCAGACAATAACATGGAATATGTAATAGAGGCAGCTGATGTAGACGATATGAAATCATGGTTGGCAACTATCAAGTACTGTATGAGGGCGCCCCCGACCACGCAGCCGCCGCCAGACGCGCTGCCAGGCATGCCAGAACCGGCACCCCCGGACCTGCCACCACGAAGAGACCTACCAACCAGCACCAGCAATATTGACTTAGCTACTGACACTCCTGAAGAGGCTGAATTAGGTAACATAAAGGTTGTCTGGTTAGACACTCTTTTCAGGTGTAACTATCTTAATATGAATTTATTGAAAAGCAAGGGATGAGTAAGGACTCAACTACAAAACGCAACAATTGTATGAATATTTTGAAGAAATCTCCATTTGTATTTTAATAAAAAACATACCTAGCATATGAACACAAAACTGATCAGAATCCAGTACACTACTACGCGGCGATGCCATATTGCAATTGCGTCCAAGCCTTTCGCATTATTTTCATTTCTACTATTACCAGTCATCACAAATAATGGATTCATAACTCATGCGTACTCACACTTCCTAGCCGTAAGCAATCGGCCTATTGTGTATCTACCACTGTGTGCATCACTATAGTTTACGTATTGTTTATCATAAGACTGCATCAAATGCAAAGAATTTGATATCCAACTTCTCTGTTAGTAAGCAATTACGATAGTGAACTGGAATGATGTGATCTGACGAAAGGAAAGATTACAATGCACTTGTACAATGTAACATCATATTCTGACAATTAACAAGCTTTGATTTAATACAGGTTCGATAGCAGAAGAAGCTTGTGAGTCGTCATCCCGCATCTCCCTAGCGGAGTGGCCGTGGTTCCACGGCACACTGGCCCGCGCAGCCGCCGCGGCCTGCGTGCTGGCGGGCGGCGCCAGTGGCCACGGATGTTATCTCGTACGACAGAGCGAGACACGACGCGGGGAATATGTGCTCACTTTCAATTTCCAGGTGAGTTATCAAGCAAGATCATTAGGAATTTTCTCCATTTATATTGAACAGAAAAGCCCCTAAAAACTTGTTACTTAAATCTGCAATAGTCTTTTCAACCAGCTATGCACTACCTACATTTACAAGGTTGCCACTCAAGTTAGAGTGAAGTCTTATTTTCTTATGGTTTCGGCTTGAGTTATTTTTCTTGTTATAGTAGTTTTAATCTTTATATCGTTAAACAGGGTCGCGCAAAACACCTCCGTATGACCCTGAGCGAGACGGGTCAGTGTCGCGTGCAGCACCTGTGGTTCCCCAACGTGCACGACATGCTGGAACACTTCCGAGCGCACCCCATCCCGCTGGAGTCGGGCGGCGCGGCTGACGTCACTCTCACCGAGTACGTCGTCTGCCAGGAAGGGAACCGACAACAAGTGAGCCATGCACAGATGGTTTCATAAGGCACGGTTACACGTACCAATCTCCACTATATACTGCGCAAATGTTTGCTGGATCAATTAGTGTTGCGCACGTGTAACCGAACCTTTTACTGCCTTTGGGACTAATGCTTCTCGATTGTTTTTATAAAAAAAATACATTTAAGCCAAAATGTCGAAAGTTGGCAGTTATTATATTCACCAGTGAATGTAAATATTTATTTCTAATTTATATTGTTGACATTTGCTTATTTTTATTTTTTGTAACTTGAATAATGATAATAGTTTTGAGCATTGGATCTGACTTTGTATGTTGTACATATGAACACTGGATGCTCAATGTTTTTGTAAACAGTCGAGAATCATTAGAGAGTCTATACATTGATCATCACCTGACCAATGTGGATCGACGACAAACGCACTTTTTATGACTTGCATTCTTCTGTTTAAATAAAGAGGCATATTGACCCACCGAACCTTACGAAGCTTTAACTCCAGACAAAGAACAATAATAAGGTTCACAAGCCAATTATATAATGTGATTATATTTGGCATTAAAGCTATGCAACAAACCTTAAACTATTAGCGAATGAGATTTTTATATTATGTACTAAAGACTCCTTGGATTAAGGTTTGGATTGCATTGATTCATGAAACTTTTGAGGCTCAATACTGCTCTATGGCCAAGCAGAAGCTTAATGCCATACTTACCCAGTAGTGGGTATATTATTACGCCATGCTAATTACGAAGCATGAAGTTATATTTGTGCATAGAAATGTTTTTTTTTTTGTATGTTTCGCCTTCAAGTAGCGTTTGTTCATATTTTGTTGCTATTGATGTTGTTAGTATGTAGCTTGTAGTTATATTTGCTCAGCATTGTTTGTTCTCATGCTCGTTTACGGCCCACGACTTCGAAGAAAATTGGTCCGATCGATACCGATCTATTTTCGTCCTTATCTACAGACTAAATAAAGATCAGAGTCAAAATTTTGTGCCAATTTAATAAATAAGTTCATCCTTAAACATTTTCCTTATGGCCCTTTTTCAAATGAAGACGTGGCCTGTAAACGTATCACTTGTACGCATTAGAAAACAATATTAAAAATAGATTCTTATCTAATAAACAGTTCGCCGATCTTTGCCAATAAATACGTGAACATGCTTTAATTCAAGATGGCATCTACATCTTATAGCTTTAACAAAGTAGCACCTATGTTATACATTTGACCTCGTTGAGGTGTTTCGAACATGATTATAGCGAACAATATCTTTAGTAATTTACTCTTGTATCAAGTTCTCACGATTCCTGTACGTGCTATATATTTATTGATGACAGTAAATGTAAATTTATTTATGTCATATTTAAAAAATAAGATATTATTACATTAGGTATAAACTTAAGTGCCTATATAAATAGGCGTCGAGGAATCACAATGTTCTATAAAGTAATCGCATTTATACTTAGTTGGTACGTATTGTATACATTTTAGTTGAAAACGAGATCGTTTGCATTTTTTTTATTTCGTTACGAAGCTAACATTATAAGACAGTTATGAAAACGTAGGTATCTAATAGTTAGTTTACCCGAATTATAGGGTTTTAAAGGAATAGTTTGGCTCTAGCTAAAAATGGTCCCATCACTTAGTTACTTTTTGATGTCTTGACAATATTTTAATTAAGGGAGATTACACAACTGCCATTTTACACAAAATAAATATAGTATTGAATGTTCCTATTATTTTAATAAAGTATTTCAATATGTATTTTAATAAAGAAACATGTCGGGGCCAAAATATTCCTTGATTGTTGTAATATTAAACTGTCAAACACCAAGCGGTCACCGGTGACCGCGACCTATTGTTCTTTAATTGTGTCTATAAAACCGGTACTCGACGAGTTAATTTATCATCATACATATCTCGAGTTTGATAAAAATGGACTGTTAATATAATGTACTAACAATGGAACTTAGAAATATAATTTATATTGTTTATAATTTGTACAAAATCATGTTCTTCCGAGCTTTAATTATAATTTCTTGGTTGTAAATTTTTATTATTAAACTTTATTCTATGGAATGGCTTTGTTTTTTATTTTGCTGTGTTATTTTATTCTTCGTTTTTTTTTTGTTGTCTGTGTGTTGTGTTGCAAGCATACTCATTTGGTAAGTGTTTTTTATAATATTTATGCTTTTATATACAGCTTGTGATTTGTATTCTTTCGTGTAAATATTTTAATTACAGCATAGTTAATGTAGTGCTTTAAAACTAATAACTAGCTATGAATGTAATATCGCAATAAATAAACAAATATAACTATCGTAACAGTGTCAAAGTCCTCTTTCCGAATGTTTGAGACATTGTGGACAGATCGAAACAAGATAATATAGAAAGTCATTGACAATATGTTGAAGTACGGTATGCAGTTTTAGTTGATATTTTTAATGAACTTAGTAGAAATAAACTTAGATTTTGAAATACTTGTAAATTGCAAAAAGATATAAATCTACATGACGGGAAAACATTATATATCTGCATAAACTCATCATTTTGTTATTGTTGCGTTGTGTCATGTCCGTTTTTACTTCATTCTTGACTAAAACATCATATACATACAACATGCCAGCTAACCATCTAATACTTATTTCGCAGTTGGACGTGACCCACGGCAGCGACGTGCGCATGCGCCGCGCGGAGTTAGAAGCACTGCTGGTTGCTAGCGGAGCTCACCACGACATCCGCGCCGTGGACAACCAGTACACCTTCGTTTAACCATCGCCATACTGTGGAGCGACCAGTGGACTGCTCCAAACTATTAACAGAGCGATCTGCTGCAAGGAAATTGGTACTGTACCTACATTCGTTTAGAGTTCATTGTTGTATGTGTCTTAACACTTTGACGGGGAATCTTATTAGAATTGTTCTAAGCTGATCTTATATGTAGAATTGTAGACGTTTGTATGGTGAAGTGGTGTTGGGACTTTCTTAGGGATGTTAGGAAGGGATTTGAAAACATAAAATCATGAAGTTTTCTTTCCTAATTGGTAGGCAGAATAGCCGTTGAGAGGTCAGCCCTGAATAAATAAGTTTAACCGTCTTAGGTACGTTCGATATACATACACCATCTTTGCAACTGTACGGTCTTTGAATTAAATTCAAAATTGGTCAATTCGAATGTGCTCATATATCACTTGACAGTTAAGTAGGTACAGAAGAGACTGAAGGACATAGATTGAAGATTTGTTAAATAAAGGAACATTTCGGTTTGTGTGACTAGTGTTGCTGACATAAAGTAAAAAGTTTTAGTTTACATGTATAGACATTGTACCATGTATTATTAATCGTTGTTTTCATGGTACGATATCACTTAACAACTTAATTATACTTAAGATCATTTTGGTGTTTTATAGGGGAAAAATCTTTGAATGACTTCTCCCGCCCGGGTGAGGCGAGAGGAAATGTCAGAACTCTTAATGACTAAAAACCACCCCGTTCCTACTCCTGCACTTCTAGCCGGCAACCCGTTACGTTCTCCGCGGCTCCGTATCGGCATCAGCCCTATTGGGCCTCATCTGTGGTCTGATATATGGCTCTTTGGACGCGGGGCGGTTTGCTTGTGAGGAAGTTGTGCATCTCTGCCTGACGCCCCCGCCTCCTTCTTAGCTGCAACTGCATCCCAGTTTACCTCGCTCCGTATCATGGTCCGAACTAGGGCCGAACGCGAGAGGTCGCCGATCACATCCCTGAGTACACGGCGGTGCTCAGCCCTTGCAGAGCATGCCTCCACTGTGTCCTTCGGGCAGTCCACGTAGTGATGACACCCGGGCATTTCCTCTCGTCCTATCAGACACGAGTACCTCCCAAAGCTCCCATGTCCGGTAAGCACCTGCGTCAGGCGGTAGGTGAGAACACCGTAGCGTCTCAACCCACTCCTCAAAGAGGGGACTTACCGCTATAATGACAGCGAGCCCAGCCTTCGGTTGCGACAGTCGTTGCTGCCATACCGCTATGAGATCGCGCGCGAGCAACTTCGCCTTCAAATCCCACGGCGGTAATCTGGCAAGGAGGTTCGCCGCCTTCACGAAGATCGTGCGATATCTGTGGATTATTTAGATCGCCATGACCCTCTGAGACGTGAGCAGTGCCCGAGCGGGCTGCCGCATTAGATTTGGCGCCAACACAGGGGCGCCGTAGAGGGCCATGGACCGCACGACCCCCGCATACATACTCCAGCAGGAGGCGTCAGAAATGCTCCATGAAATTCCACCGACTGTCGAGACGAGTCTTAGGTACTTCATCGTCGTCTCGACACCGGTGGTAACCCCTCCCGCCGTTATTTGAGACTCACCCGGAGGTGGCACTTTCCCACGGCCATGAAAATACATGGCCCCGGACTTGTGGAGCGCCACCTCGAGTCCCAAATGCCGGATCCTTTCAACGACTGTTGTAACCGCTCTCGCCATTCAATTGGCCGCCGCCTGGTGCGACCACCCGTGCGCTAGCGTGTCGTCGATGTAGCATAATACGCTAAAGTCGTTCGTAGGTCGGTGCACAGCACCCAGTCATAGCCGATGTTCCACATGACATTTCCCGCCGGTTCCACTTGGCCCAGTGACCGGGGTAGCTGACGGACCTGTCCATCAGATAGGCACCCGATGACATCGGAGTGCTTCCAAGATGCAGCTCCAGGGCAGGGAGTTATTTGGTGTGTTACATCTAGATTGACTGTCGCAAACACACATATTAGTTTATTTATGTGCGTAAAATACGTTAAACACACACAAAAGGTCGTCTATTCTATTAGTGTTGAGTGATTTCCATAGACTTCGACAGTCCATCTAGATAATTAAGTAGGTACACGTGTAAACTAGGAAGGAACAATCCTAAACTCATAACTTCTAATTTCTACCTTAAATGTATGTATTTAAGGTTTACATAAGCACAAAGTGAAATCGGGTAGTTAGAATGTATGAAATGAAATGCTGGATGGGTTTTCTCCACAGTATAGACGAAACATATTTAATGTAATAATTATTATTATTACTGCATGTACCGCTGTAGCTAATTAGTTTGAATGTGACATAAAAAGCTAGTCGATATTTTCGACTGCAAATGTAATTTGTGTAACTTTGCAGCTTTTAGTAAATTATAGCTCATTTTGTTAGGGGTAAGGTCGAAACTCCTTTTATTCAGATCGTGTATGCCCGGTTCTTATACCTTTCTGGTGATGAATACTCTATTCTTCCTTAAGCAAACAGAGGGTCTAATGTAACTAATCAATGATGAATGTCCTAAGTAATACTTCTCTAGCTCTTATTAGGGCTCCCATTTGTGAAGCCTAGAACCTTTTTAAATTTACTGTGGGCTGAAAATAACAGTTGACAAGATACAAGAACCGATCATTTTACACAACCTGAATATTCTGCAATGATTTATTTGTGCAATAGGTTTATTCTATTTATTCTAGTATCTCTAGTGTTAATTTATTGGTATTTAATAAGGCTTAGCCAAATCTATGTTATTGAATGTACTTAAATTAATGTTTTAGATTGTAAGTAATGTTTTCTGTATCTTACACTGCCAAAATGCCCCGATTAATAGACAATTTCTTCAAATTTTGTCAAAATCAAACTCGCAACGTTTCAAAATTATAACAATTTCTTTTTTTAAATCTGTCTTAGACTATATTTCTATCGATTAAAATTAACAGCAGTTTACGAGAATTACCCATAATAGCTTAACAAATAAACTAATTTGCACTACTTGAAGACTGTTGACTGACTAACCGATTATCTGATTGTATAAATTAACGGTAAAATAGAAGCAGACAAAAATAAATGTTTAACCATCTCGGTATAAGATTAAGCAGATTTAGTAAAACCTATGAGGCTTTAATACTAAACCAAGAATGTATACAGGGGGTAGTCTGTTTGTAATAGTTATACATTATGGAACTACTAGGTGGAATAATTATTCTACCTTCGTAATATCTGTGTTAAGTGTCTATGTAGGTAGGTAGCTAGGTATACAGAAGGGAAACATATCGCTTTCCTACCCCACATCAACAAATACGATACCGGTAATAGAAAACGAGTTTTTACGCCACTAGAGGCATTTAGGTTGCGAAAAATTATTAAAATGTTGGATAATGTCAACTTTTGAAAGCTAAGAGAACTTTACGTCTCACTAGCGCCAATTAATAAGTGCAAAATTTATCGGTGGAAAAATACTTTAACATTTAATTTTATAGAAACAAACCTAACTTTATAATGAGATCTTTCACACTGAAGACAAAACAACTCACTTGAAATGTCTATCTTATTCATTCAACTTTAAGATCCATTTTAAAGTTGGGTCTGTACATTATCCCTATTTCACCGGTGTTAAAATATAGGTACTATACGTCTGTATTATAATTAATCAACTAGGATTATTATTGTATTTAATGTGTATCAAGAAATTGCAACAAACAATTCAATCGAAGTATTGCTAGGTGTTATAACAATTATATGAATGTCACGTCACAATCAATAAACCTTTCAAGGGACAGCTTAACTTGTCATAATTATCCTGTATCTGTATATGGGGACTAGTCTTTGAATAATTTAGTTATCTGTGACCAAAATAGCCTATGAGAAGTGGCTAATCTATTTTTGTCGTGCTTAGGTTTGACCTCAGTTATACATGATGACTGATTGACATATTAATCTATGACTGATTGGACAGGTTTTTGGGCTTGGGTAGTGCTGTGCTTACCCACAAAATCTTGAAGACAAAGTGTCTACTGTAATTTTTTACCGACTTCAAAAAAAGGAGGAGGTACTATGTTCGGCTGATTGTTTTTTTTTTGTTTAAATAGTTGTTATTTAGCTCGCTACATAAAGTTAGGCTGTCAATTGAATGTCTAGTCTTTAAAGATTGTGGCGAAGATAAAAATATTACAATAAATACGTATTATGTATTTAAACTGAAGTGAACGAACTTTGATCAATTAAATCCGTATAAAGGATCGTTGCATGATTAACATTGTATGTAAAATTAATTGTTGTTGGAATTGATAACAAAAAGATTAACTCATTGACAAAAAAAATACTATATTATAAAAAAAATTATAACATATTTGTTGGTTTTTTAAAACTGTTCACGCTAAATGAAATTTATCATGGAAATTATGTATGTAAATGTAAGTAGGCTTATTTTGTATGTGAAAGCCAAGCGACGTCAAGATATGTATGTACTCATTAACCGTTCAGTCAGTGTACACCACACATTCCTGTAAGTTGTATGTAATTTTTGGAGAACGAAATATAGTCATATATTTTGCAAAAAAAACGATCTTATTTATTCACTCGCCCGTCACGGCTGCACGAAAACTGTTCCTGAGGCCTTAGTACGAGTTTGATTTACGTTTAAAGTATTCGAAACGAGGACGCGTTCGGCACTCTGAGGGCCAAGCACGAATAACTATCGCATTCGTATCGTAACAGTATCGAGCGAGTTAAGCGTTATGATTGGTTGGTTCACTTGAGCCGGCCAATCAGAGCGCCGAACGCGCTCGGTACTGTTACGAATGCGATGGTTATTCGGTCTGTACGTTACGAATGCGATGGTTATTCGTGCTTGGCACTCTGAGGCCTTAGTACGAGTTTCATTTACGTTTAAAGTATTCGTAACGATTACGCGTTCGGCAATCTGATTGGCCGGCGCCAATGAACCAACCATTCAGAGAGCCGAACGCGTACTCGTTATGATTACTTTAAACGTAAATCAAACTCGTACTTAAGGCCTCTGACAATTCCTCCACTAGTATTACCAGCAACCAACACATTAACTAGTGTTGTGTTGTGATTAATATGTTAACTAGTCAAAACTCAGTGCATTTTAAGTATATTTTTGCCTATACCTTCGAAAAATGATAGCGTAATTAATAAAATTGGAGTTTCTGTTTGTAATACTGAAAAACCCGCGTTTTACTACATGCATATGAATATACATTTTACTACATGCGTATAAGATACATATACCAAAATAACACTTTAGAATTTTACTTAGTCTGTCTGTTTGTACTGGCTAGTCTCTGAAACGCAGACGAAATTGCGGTTTCAGCTAGTTTTGGTATAAAAATATTCTTATAAACTAACTCAGTCGTCGAGTAACGGCACTATGTAGAACTCTGAGAACATCTGCCGCTGGTCCTCCTTCTCCAGCTTCAACTGCAGCAGCATTAGGCCGTTGGAGCTACATCTGAGGACTACCTGCAAGTCAATGACACATAATTACTACCAAATTCTTAGCTACTATGAACTAACTTAAGAATTATTTATTTATTTAGGAGTTAATACAGTATTCAATGTACAAGTGGACTTAATGCCTTAGGCATTGTCTCACATTCGACCTTAAGGTGGTGCAGAGATGAAAGTAGCAGGTGACTAAGCAAATATTGATAATAAATAACTATATATAAATACTTACTTAGATACACATACATGTACACATACATCCAATCCTTTTATCATATAATAGTACTATATACATACATACCCAAGTAAAAACTAAATAACATAATGAGAGACAACTTATGTTTGAATCGAATCTGCCAGAATTATTAGGGCCTTACCAAATATCCTTGAGATGATCAGTTTTTAAATTTCAGAAAGTCTGCGGTAGATACGAAGTCCTAATCGTGCCCTTAGTGATGAATCTGACTGCGGTTTTTATTATAGGGAGACATGTTTGCCAATCACTAGCTGCAGTAGCTATGTCCGATAGTTTGGCTAATTACTATTGAACAAAAAGGACCTCATCTTACACTAACATTAACACTGGCACGATCGCCTAACTTCACTGATAGACTAACGGACGGACAATTTAATTTTTGACGTTTCATAAGTGCCTTACTAAGGATTAATGAAATTACATGCTTTGACTTTGACTCCATTTGCAAAAAGAATTTTACATTTATGGGATATAATTTATGTTAATTTAAAACGAACCTTGGTTGATATAGCTAGTGCCTTCATAATAGTCCGTATGTGATGCAGCTGATACCTCAGAGTGACAGGAGACTGACAACTGAAGCTTTGCACCATGTCTGATGACTTCGGCATGTCAATGCAAGACCTGTCCTGTAAGATAAAGATAAACATACATAAGCCTAAGTTAAAGTCTTTATCCCACAGAGGTAGGAAGACATCACAATTATCTTATAAGCAAATTCAGATGATAATGTTTTCTTGTTTCGTTCTTTTATAGAACATGTATTTTCTGTATTCAAGTTTCGCGTTTTTACTTCTTTTCCCTAATATCACAAAACAAAATAGATTATTTCTAAATTTCAATGTTCAACTGTCGGAGAGAATTAAGAACACCATTCTGCGTACCACAACTAAAATCGCATAAAGAGGAGTGGAAGGAGGGTAAGGAGGCCTTTGCCATGCAGTGGGACAATCATGGCTGAAAATTAAATAAAATATTACTGTATGAACAGTGATTGATATTGTAATCGAATAAAGTTTACCTGCATGCCATAAGTAACAATGCTGACATTTGGATGCTCAGGTGAGAGGTTCAGTTCAAATACTTCACAAGATCGCTCCAAATCTGCCAGCAGACCCAGGAACGCAGGAGCCTTTAGCACCAACTTGGCAACCTCCTCTGCATCCTCATCTCGAAGTTCTAATACAGAGTCTGCTGTTTGTGTTGCTATCTCACAATCTGTCATGACATTGTTCACTGATTGGGGTTGTAACCTAGAAATAAATTTGATTAATCAATCTATAACAAAACTTCGACTATAATACTGTCTAAGTGTTTACATATATATGTTTTGTGTAAAAAGATACAAAAGCAAAGTAAATTTTTAAGTCCGCCATCATATGTTATACAGAAGTGTAAATAAATAAATTTCAAGCATACATAGTCAATTCAGTGTAATTATAACTTACACTAAAAGTAGAGGTGACCCTTCACCCCTGTAGTACATCTTCAAACTGGACTCCTCGCCAGAGCCAAATATATTCAGACATTCTGCCAGCACCACTATGCTGATCTGAAATATATATTTTTTAATTCATTAAGTACAACTACAGTTATAATATGCAACATGTTTTAGTAAATAAACTAAGTGATTATTTCTTTGTTACTCTTTATTTATTAACTACAATCAATCAGGCCCAGCAGAATAATCTCTGGATCATAAAAAGAAGCACATTTCTATGAATATGAATCTACTGATTACCTTGAACATAACATCAACATCGTCTCGCACATGGTACTCTGTAAAATTATCTGAAGGTACATAGGCTGAAGCTTGCACACATTTGCCCTCTTCCACGGTCAGCTTCAGTCCCTCTGGTAGAGCACAGAATACTGCAGTCTAAAACAAATAACATACAATAAAAACCCACTGTTTTGTAATAAATAAATACAAAAAGTACATGGAAAATAGTAACATGTTACCTCTTGAAACTGAATGGCTTTCAATAAACTGCACAGTGTCTTCCCAGAATCCATAGACGCTGTGAAATAGTACTGGGAAGTTCCTTCATCCATCATTCTCATCAATGACATACATGGAGCGTAATAACATCAAGTACTGATCCTGCGTTATTTCATGCTCAGTTATCCTGCCAAGTATTTGAGCAATCCTCCCTGCTAGCACATGCTTGCACAAAATTTGAGCTTTGCGTTCTAAAACTTGGTGCTTAAACGATTGGCAAGGGCAATAATTAATGCGTGGAAAAATACGGTAGCACCGGTCGTTTTCACCCTTTATTTCTATCAAGGTTCTTGCTTTGTTTACTGTGGTGTACGCAACAAACGTCGGATACTTTTCCAAGATATCTAATGCTCTTTCAAACACTGCTCCAAATACTGAATGAAGCGACAATAAATCTTCATCTAGAACTGTTAAAATACAAAATTAAAACTTATACCTTTACCACACATCGACAAAAAACTGTAACGATAAACTTAACCAAACTAACGTAGTTTGTCCTCACTATTGTTAACACGATTTTGTATTTGATTCAGCAGGTACTCGGCAACAAACGGTATTTTAGACGGTGTTGAATTGTTCATTATTCACTTCGAAATGTATATTAAATCTAATTTCTCGTTAAACTATTCAACTGTTGCTATATCGAATTGCCGCCAACCAAATCATAACAACTCGAAATGTCAATGTCATGTCATGGTTTTCGACGTAAATTAGAGGTGCTACAAGGTACAAGTGCGCCAAAAGGACCAGGTCCTTTGGGGTACTGGGGAGGTTTGGACCCTCGCCGCGTCGCCGCCTTCGGTAATCTCACCGATATCTGACACAGCGAAACATAAAGCAAACGTTATTTCACGCGGGTTTTTTCTCATCATATATTCTGATACTGTGGTCTAGCCGAAATATGGAGTATAATAAGTTTAGTAAAAATAGGCTTCAAGTTCCCTCTTTTCATATCTTCTTAAATTGAACGTGCGATTTCTTTTTCAGTTTCAGGGTGAAGAAAGCTGTCAGTAAAGCGTCAATGTCTAATGTCAGTGTAGGGAAATCTATGAAAATCCTGAAAATCTCGATATCAGTGTTATTTTTTTATCAATTTGGTGTATTTAGAATGAGAATATTGAAGACTTAATAGTGAAAATATTATCAGAAATTATTCTTGAAAGCGGGATTACCGACAGGTTTGTAAAGAAGCGTAACAAATTTTCGTGTAGTAATTTATTAATATTCTACTTCCAATAACATAGCGGGGTGCGGTTTCAGGTGGATGTGGAGCTATGCCGGAGCATTTGGAACTTCAACACCTTGTGGACTTGTCGGCGGGAAGCGGCGACGAGACACTACCAAATCTTCTTGAGAACAAGAGACCATTAATAAAGAGATGCCCATATCTCGGCCTGCTACTGGCGACATTGTCGTCTTTGTTCTTCTCACTATGTTCGGTTATCGTTAAAAGCCTCGTTAACATCGACCCTATGCAACTCGCCATGTTCCGATTTATTGGAGTACTTCTTCCAACTATACCCATAGTCATATATACAGAACAGCCTGTGTTTCCTGAAGGGAAGCGCATCCTCCTACTATTGCGGTCCATTGTAGGCACAGTAGGCTTAATGTTAAGTTTTTATGCTTTCCGCAACATGCCACTGGCAGATGCTTCTGTTATAGTATTTTCAGTTCCAGTTTTTGTTGCATTGTTTGCTCGAGTGTTCTTGAAAGAACCTTGTGGTATTTGGAATACAATATCCATTATATTAACTCTTATTGGAGTGATATTAATTACTCATCCACCATTTTTATTTGGTGATGATCCTGGTGCAGAGCATAATCAGAATTACAATAGTTTACGAGGAGCTGTGGCTGCCTTTATATCAACAATATTTGGAGCAAATGCTTATGTCCTGCTTCGAGTGCTCAAAGGTTTGCATTTCTCAGTAATAATGACAAACTTTGGTGCTATTGCTATAATACAAACATTGTTTTACTCATATGTGTTTGGGGTGTTATGTATGCCTATTTGTGGCACTGAGAGATTCCTTGTAGTATGTTTGGCTTTGTTTAGTTATCTGGGTCAGATATTGTTGACAATGTCTCTGCAAATGGAACAGGCTGGTCCTGTGGCCATTGCTAGGTCTGCAGATATAGTGTTTGCGTTTTTGTGGCAAGTCATGTTCTTTAACGAGATTCCAAGCAAGTTTTCTGTATGTGGAGCCGTATTAGTTTTAAGTTCAGTTATGTTAGTTGGTTTACGTAAATGGGCCCTGGCTTTGCCTACAGATTCACAACTGAGAAGTAAGTTGGGTGCACTAGCACGATAAACAGTTTTATTGGATCTCACTTGCATAATATATAATGTCGCCACATTGTTTATGATTAAGTAACTTGAACGTTTCAGTTGTGAATGGCTCAAAAGCACTGGAAGTATTTTTTTTCTTATATGAAAACCTTTGAAAGGAATGAATCCTATAGTTTAGTTTAAAATTGTTAATGGCACTATTCAATAGTTATGCCCTCTGATTTGTGATTGTTATCCTAAGTTGTTATTTATATCTTGTCTTTTAATGTTCAATATTATTTACCTCCTAGTCTACAGAGCACACAAATTAATGGTCTTGTAGGTTTGACTAGGATGAACCCAATATTTACACCAAACAAATCATTTAGGTTTGGTATATTTTACCTTTGTATAATTCTGAAGGTTCTTTTACAATTATAATCCCATTCATCTGAATCTAAACCCATGTATTGTAAGTAATTTATGTATTTTATGGTTTTCGAGAGTAACCAAGCACACCATTCTTGTTAATTGGAACCTTGTCATAAAGTGCTAAAGAGTCATTTTACTTCGACACATTAAAACAGTCTACAAAGAGTAGAAAGTTTGCTTTAAGTGCTTGTAAGTATGTATAAGAATGGACAGAAACAATAACTATTATAAATTGTAATATTTAAGTAAAACCTTTCACCCTAAAAGACTGTTAAGTAAGTCCACTCAAACTTGTGTTGTGTGCGTTGGCCTCTATTTATCACTCTGCCTAGTAATTGTGTTCCTCATCGGCTTTAATAATTTAGTCCTATCATTTATTATTAATATTAATTATTTAAATGTTTATTGTTGTCGGAAAGCTTTATTGAATTACTATTTGCTTAGATATCGCTATTTGTTATCAATTATCTTGTAATCCTATTTATTACATTTAGATTGCTAATAATATTTAAATGGTTTCATCTCACAATTACATATCACCAAAGTTATTTATTTGTGTTCACTAAAATATCCTCGTTCATGTAACTATTTAATAACAGTCACATCTCAAATAATTTTGTGAAAACCAAATAATATCTAATATTATGTAGTCATTCTCATCTAGTCATGTGTAGTTAAATAAGAAATAGTCATTTTAATCTCGATATTTTTGTTTGATAGAAGAAAATCTAATATTTTTATAGGATCCAAAATGTTTAACTCTAAAAATTGTTTTAATTTTAATCACATTTTACAATCATGTAGTTAGTTAATTATGTAATTTCTGTTTGAAAACGATTCTTAAGAAGATCTAGTCATTAATAACATAGATATATGGCACAATAATGAAAAATAGTTTGTTAAAATAATGAATAAGTGATTCAAGGATTATTTATATACCCTTGCAGTAAAGAAATAAGCGCAATCAACACATCTGAAGTACTTACTTCCCAACATCATTTTTTAATTGTTTTTTTTTAACAATGCCAAAGCTTTTTATAGTTGGTTAAACGTACCTGCATACGATACTTCAAATATTTATCGGCTAAATTGGTGTTGTTGACTGTACATAATTGATTGGATTGTGATATTTTTACTTCTAGTCATAAAAATACTATGTACACTGCTTAATTTAATAAATATAATGTTCAATATTATACAGTATTCTGTTATTTAATGACCTGAGTACCTAGTTTTGGTTTGGTGCTGATTAGCAACGTAACTAACTACGTTATCAATGGTACTTGTTATTGGAATTCAAATCTCGCGGGCTACCTTGGCATCCACCTAAAGGTATTCATAGATATTAAAATGACAGCATTCAACCGTATACTGCTTATATTTTATGTAGCAAGAATACATTTTGTCCGTAAAAACAATTGCTAATATTTTATTTAAATCTCATGATTAGGATTAATAATCCATTAAATAATCTTAATTTAAATAAAACACATCACTATCCTTTGCACGATTTACATAGACAAACTAAACTAAAAACCTTTTTTTCCAAATGGCAACCTAAGCACTTGCAGCCAACTTCACATCTGTGTCTGTCAGATAACAGTAAATGTCATTGTCAGTTCATGGTTGATTGTTTGAGTATTTTCGATTTTTCATAATCAAATTCAAAAACTTTTCTTGATATTTCAAGAATTATCGTCTGAAGTTATTTGTTCGTATATCATAAATAGCAACAATGGCAGATCGTCTAACGCAGCTCCAGGACACCATAAACCAGGTAAAAATAGCTTACTTTTGTGTTCAATTTGTTGGTACGTTTATCATGACATTTGTATTTACATTACTTTTTACTTTTTTATAGCAAGCTGAACACTTTTGCAACAGCATAGGTATATTGCAACAGTTCTCTACACCGAGCAAGTTCCCTGGCTTCGATCGTAGTGGATCACAGACCCCGCAACAGCAACAAAATCAGGAGGATTATGCTATGTTGTTTGCGACGCTTATTTCTCGTTGTGCGAAGGATATTGATACGCTGATTGAGTCGTTGCCTAGTGAGGAGAGCTCTACTGAGCTGCAGGTGCAAAGCTTGAGACGTTTGGAGGCAGAGAACAAGGAGGCTGCTGAACAACTTGAAGAGGTACATCACTGTTAAGTTCTTACTGTGAATTTCTCTTTTGTACATACTGTTTTTCGATTTATTAGTAAAATTACCTACACATTTGCATTGCTTTTTCCTTAAATAAATTGTTTATTGCATTGCATTAAGTATAAATTCCCTTCAATATCAATCATTTAACAAAATTTTTCTTAATGAGGATTTAAATCTTGTCCCTTGCAGGTAGTCCGTCAAGGTGAGATCCTCCTGGAGAAGATCCAAGGAGCTCTGAGTGATATTGCTCAGTGCCAGTTGGATATGCAGAACCCTGCACTGATCCTCAATAAAGATGTGAAACCTCAATTATAGGGCTCACGGAAACACGGTACTGATTACCGTAGATGATCTGAAATGGACAATAGTGGGAGTTTTGTGAATGTGTGGTCTTTGCTCTTCTGTGACAAGAGGCAGTGTAATCTATTTTGTTTTATGCCAATTGTGGCTAGTTACTAAAATACTAAATTAAACAGTTATTTTTACTCAGTATTTTTTTTTTTTGTAATCCTTTGTAGTAGGAGATATGTCATACATTCGTTAACTAATTATAATATTTACAAAGGCTCACAACACTGAAAAAGAAGTTAAAACAGACCTATATAGGTCATACAATGTAATAATGTAATAGAAATTAACAGAATTAGTGTGCAGAAAATGTACTTACAAAAAAGAGTGAATATTGAAGTTTTATAAAAATAAATGTGCTAAAATATTAATAAAAACTTTTATTGGGCTGTTATTTAAACTGTCAAACACCATTGTGTCTATAAAACCGGTACTCGACGAGTTAATACGCTTTTACCCGATAAGAAGAGATTTTCTCCGAAAATAGAAAATTTTCAAAACGTTCAAGTTGTTTAACTCCATCTAGTTTCATAAATAGCAAACTTATAGGACGTTAGTTCACAAAATGCTCAATAGATGTCGCTACAAAATCTACTAATAGCAAGGTTGTATGTAGAGGTATATAAGAGTAAAAGCAGAGGATTTAAAAATTACCTTCGAATTGTGTTTCGTCTGTTATAACTACAGTTATGGGGCAGTGGGTATTTAAATACATAATGTGATTTTTTTTAATTAGAAAGAAAGAAAGAAACAAAGAAAAACCATTTATTTTGCTACGACACACAACCAGAATTTAGAAACCCAAAAAATAGCCTATGGTGCGTCGCAGCGCAAAAGGCAATAGTTACAATAGTTCTACACTAACCGGTGACTGTCCTTGGGTGCATTTCCGTAGTGCATACAGGGATAGTTTCCGGTTTGTGTGTACATTATTACATTTAGATTAAACTTGTCTAAAGCACCTCTCTCTGCGCAGTTGGCTTCGCCCCCTCGTTCGCCTCCCAAATGACCGGGACCCTGTGGTCCCGTGAATGGTAACGTAACGAGTAACGACACATGATGTAAACTAGTTGAATATAGCTAATATAGATTATTAAAAAAATTGAACTCGGTCGAGTGAGCCTTAGCGCTATTACCTTCTATATAGTATCGATTAAGGGGTTTCAGGATTCCCTGGGTGAGCAAAATATTAGCACTTTTTGCTTTTTCCTGTGATTTTATGTAGGTACTTATTAGGTACCTACATTTAATAATTGAATCACATGGTACCTGCCTACTAATTACATATGTGTCGTGTTAGGATGACCCAGCCTACCACCGATTCGTTTTATTGAACCAAGACTGGTCGTCGTAGTTATATTGAAAACTTGGACGTCTTCCTACTCATGTAGAGATTATAAGGCGTGACAATATGTTCTATGTATAATGTAGTGTAAATGGTTATGTCAAATTATTTTGCGGAGAAAACTGAAAGTGTTTCGAGTGCGGGCGTCTTGTATGCTATTAAATACTAACAGAACATAAAAGGTACAACACGTAGGTGTAATAGATATCGTACCGGACAATATTCATGTTTAATTAACACTCATTTATGATTTATGATCGAGAGCAACTGTAAATACTTTCACATTTCCGAAGAAATCACACCGATGTGTATATGCTAAGGACGGGAAGGAAGTTTCTCTCCATCCTGGTTTCGTCCCTTAATGTCCGGTTCAAACCGGCCGAGTACTGAAGCTCTAATGGAAGAACCTTTAGGAGGTACAAGTTTACATTCACATGCGGCCCGCACCCAGCCTCTCGCCGCCACCGGCCGACGCTTCACTCACCTGCAGTTGATAACCAACCTCTTTGCCGTGAGCACGCTCCACGCTTCTCGCTACCGGTTTTGATCGCACCTCTAGTGACGTACGATTTTAAATTCGAAATTTCGAATGCAACGAAGTTCGTTAATTAAGTTTTCGAAATTTAAAATAAACAACAATGGACTCTGAACTGTGTGACTGTTTATTTTTCTAATTTTATTAAGTGTTTGTTTTTTTTTGTTAATTATTATTTTTGTTTTGGTTATTGTACTTTTTTGAAAGTGTTAAGGGAGTGAATGTGATATTTTGGAAAACGCCCGGAAGGACGGGTTGGCTCGTCGTTCACGCTTCCGTGACAGGTGAGTGTTTACAAAACCTCATTACCTGTATGATGATAGAAAATCGTTTACATATCTGTTGGCTATCCAACACTATCTATTAATTAAAACTTTAAGTCCGTTATCGTTAATTGGCGAATAGATTGTCATACAGGATCAGGATTTTCCAGTAATTTTCCAGTTTAACGCGGCATTGATATTGAAAACAGTAAATTTCGCTTCTGTCTAGCAACTTTCTATAATTACATACCTTAATACCAGTTAGCTATTTAATTAGATTCTGATTGAAAAGCACGACAGACATTCGCCAGGTGCCTGAGACTATTTTCTCTTCATTTTGCGAAGAAAATGAAATTATTTTACTAAATCGCAGTCGGTAAAAGATATTAACAATTATTTACTTTAATACAATTTCTCCAAATACTCATTAAACTCGAGTAATTAAGTGAGATCATGCCACGATGTGTTTGAAAGTTGAAGAAAGTTCCAAAAGTGACGAAAACCGCGCGCGTGAGATTATCTTTAAACACTAAGTGGACAAATATATCTCCATAAGTAGGTGATATTATAATATGAATCTTGCACCTACCAAGATTATTCTTTAAAGCCGACTATATTATAGTGGATATATTAAATTATAGTGTATATGGCAATAGGCTCAACCCTTATTACATGGGACTCATGACATAAATAGGGAAAAGTGGGTGTTACATTGTATAATGGCATTAAGTGCCATAAAGTACACCTCTGCCTACCCCTTCGGGGAAAAAAGTCGTGAAGTTATGTTGTTATGTTATGTTATAATTATAGTGTAGGTCTTTATTCCACAAGGTAAAGTATCGAGTAGGATAATATACTTATTTTTCTAAGTCGCATATTGTTTAGGTAATATTTCTAGTTCCAGGAACCCGCGAATAGACTAATTGTCAGCGTAATTGTATACTTACTTGTCTATTTTTTGCTAAACTAACAATACATATAACAACTGTAAGTAGGTACCTACAACTAGATAAATAAATGAACTTACAAAAGTAGGTAGCTCTATAACTTATCCAAGACTTTCCTTTTAGATATTCGTAAATTCGTCTTCCTTACGAACTGCTTATTCGACAATTGCTGTCAAACAAAATATTTCTTCCACAACTTCATAACATCCAAAGAGCTTAGTTTTTATAAGGACATTAATGCACTTGTCTCTCCTTTGGTGTTTTGGTTGTCCGTCAGCGTCTCTGTAGCTTACCATCAGGAGACCAGACTGCTCTTATTTTCTCTCAATTCCCCACAATGTTTAACAAGAGGAAAATCTGGACTAACTATTTAATATCCCTTCGTCTATGAGCAGCACATAAGAGTGGAAGAATGTTAGACAGAAATATTGTTTTAATATTCATGTATCATTTACCTTTGCCATTTTGACCTGTGGCATCCTCGCTATATTTTGAGAAGAAGACGATCTTATCTAACGTATTATAAATGTACCTTCTATAACAGACGTAATATGCATACATTGAACAACTAATGACTGTTCGAGTGTCCGTTGACTGTTGACCCTTGATCTGCTAAAATATCTGCGGATAGAATATAGAAATTATAAAGGTCAATTCAATATTATAACTCCTGTACTTTTTTAAAATGATTTTCATTGGTGCATTAAGTTAGGATCGGTCAAAACAAAGTATAACAAAAGGTCTGATTAACATTGTTATGTTGTTTGTTTTGGTATGTTTTCTAGTGAAAACCGACGTTAAACAACGCTTGTGTTATTTTTATAATGACTATCATGAAATATACTAATTTAATTAAAATCGCAGGCTACTCACGTGAATATACTGAGAAAAGCTCTACTAGTTTCGAACCACAGAAGGTTCTTCCTCATGACAAGAATTTTATTTTATTTATTTATTGACAGTCACAACGGTTGAAACAAAAATCCAAATAGAGTAACTGGACAAGGAAGATTATTAGTTAACGCTTGTGTTGTGTTTCGTCGTGTGAGTAAGGTTACTGGAGGTCTAGTTATCCCTTCCCCACTCCAATCTTCTAATCCCCGAATCCCCAATTCTCAAATTCCTAACTCCTAAAAGGCCGGCAACGCTCGTCTTACGCAGTTACGCCTCTGGTATTGCGGGTGTCTACGGGCGGTGGAGATGGCTTACCATTATCTTTATCTTGATTTAATTATCTACATACCCGCCAATCATCGTTACATTGTCAACTAAAACTCGAAACGTCAAACTGGAAAATGGCCGACAAATTACAATAGCTATTAGTAGGTACTTATTAGGGTTAAAGTATTAACCTAAATAAGATAATATTAATAATAACACAATACATAAATCGTTATACTCGTTGGCCGAGTAGTCGCAAGTGCGACTGCCGGGCAAGGGGTCTCGGGTTCGATTCCCAGGTCGGGCAAAGTATTACTGGGTATTAAAAAAATCTCACTAGTAGCACGGAGTCTGGAAATGTGCCCGGTATATGGCAATAGGCTCACCCCCTATGACATAGGACTCATAACATAAATAGTGAAAAGTGGGTATTACATTGTACAGTGGCATTAAGTGCCGAAATGTGCACCACTGCCTACCCCTTCGGGGATAATAAGGTGTGATGTTATGTTGTGTTATAAATCGTTATAAGTATATAACGATTTATGTATTGTGTTTTAGTATTGTAGAGAATAAATATGTTGAGTTTTGAGACGAATATGATTGCGGATGTTTCGTGAAAGTGTCGGCTGCTTGTCTGACCCCTGCGGAACCGGCTCACTAGGCGACGAGGGTTTCCATCTACAATATTAATATGTTGTAATACGTACATACTT